TTTTTCATTCATTTACCCCCACATTCATTGTCGCAACAAACTATGTTTGTTGCATTGGCACTGCAAAATCTCTATCGACATACCAATAGAGAGAGAAATCATATTTAAAAATCAGTATAATATTTGCATTGTGTGTGTTTCGACTAACCAAGATTCCCTATGAAAGGAATACATCAAACGAGACATCGACCGGACTTATAGCGATTGCGTATACCCTGCATCGTGTTTAATTACACATTGTATCAACATCGAAAGTTACACAAATAAATTTTATATTTCAGAAGAAATATATTTATATGTACCCTTCCTCACACGGCACAGCTTTTTTACTGCCATACACAGTGCAGTTTTTGGATTAACCAATTTCTATTTACTATCTTGGAATAATTGAAAAAAGTTATATATATATATATATATAAATAAAAGCTGCTGATTTTTAATATACAAAATACATAACAAATGATATATTAGGTTGTCCGAAAAGTTCCTTTCGTTTCATAAGGTGATAATAGAGGAGCAACAATTTCTGTTTTATATTATTTTATCGAATCTATTATTTCCTTATAAAACGAAAGAAACATTTGGGATAACCTGATACAAGAACACCTATGTAAAATATCCAAAGGACAGCGTTCGTTATAATATTCAACAAATCTTTGGCTACTTTTTATATGTTTGTAAAATATAAATTTGTATAAATACTCGCAGCCTATTTATCATCTACTTTTCCAATAACTGTACAATGTTAAAAACTCAGATAAATTTCATTGAAAGAAGAATTGTATTCTTCTCGTTTGTTTGAAGACTTTGGATAATGAATAGAGGATAACAAATAAATTCGATTAATTCATTATTCGCTATTAACTTGAAATAATTTTTATATATCCACGATCATCGTATTCATTATTCGAAATAATTTTTAACCAGCGCAACACTATGCATCGAATAATCTTGTAACCATGTGATTATACCAGCCTTTGCCTGAACATAGCAAGTGCATATAAAATAAAGCATTCGCAAGACTTTCCTTGGACAAGAGGTAGACCTCTCGTACTCGGTAGGCGGAAAGCCTACAACTCGTGGGATTGGACAACCATGATGCACCTTGATAATTGTACTTAAGTGTGGAACGAATATCGACCAGGGAATAAAAAAAACCGCGATGCAACAACGAACCATGAAAAACGACCAGTGAATCGCATCGACTGTATTTAAGCGTTTACTGATGGATAAAGAAACGAGAGGTTATCGACACCTGTTCTGTTCCTCGTACAACTACAATAGAATGAATGGTCATCTCGGTATCGATTGTTTGCGCGGCTAATTGTGCAAACGTTTTGTTCTTTATTTCTATCCTAACCGGATAGTTAAACGTTTTTTCTATTAAATTATTTTGAAAAATACTACGAAAAATTCTGACACGTGTAAATTAATATAATATGGTACAGTTGAAGTTCTTTCGATGCTTTAAATATTAGGTTGTTCCAAAAGTTTCTTTCGTTTTATGAGGAAATAATGGATGCACAAAAGCTTTTGTTTTATATTATTTTATCGAATTATGTATGATCCTTTTTGTTCCGGAACACGTTGTGCAGTTCCTTATAAAACCAAAGATACTTTTGGCACAATCTAATACTTTAAACACTTTAAATTCATGAACTTGTATGAAAAATCAATGACACGACTACTTTTACGATAATATTCCTGGAACACGTATTGACTCCAAGGCGAATGAAAACACAGTCTCGGTGATATGTGACAGCACGTTAAATTTTAAAACATGTATGCAAGTTTCCCTGTGATCTTCGACTGAGTTCATATGCATGTTGTTATGGAATTATTTCAATAAATTCTGTTTTCTGATTTTATCATGTTTAAAACTGTACGTCGACTATATCCGTGATATAGATACTTCGATGTATTTTATGATGAAAGAAACGATAAAATTGGAAGGAATTATCTCGCTTAGAAAATGCAGTAAGTGCTTAAGCGTTTCACGATGAAACGTTATAAACTATAAAGATAAACAGATTAATCCGCAAGTTCATTTACCGTTTATGCTACTAAACCTCGGATCTAGATTTTGTTACACGAGTCCAATAAACTTGGACACGCAACGCTTAGCGAAGCAAGGATCTGCACGTAATTTGCATTTAAGTAAGATTAGTTCAGCGAGATTACGCAACGTCTAACGAATGCTGGCATTGAGCGACACTTCGAAGTTTCATGGAACACTGGGAAATAAAGTATATATGTCGAGAATTATAATGAGAATTACAGCGTATTTGCTGTTTCAAGAAACAACCAGCGGAACAAGGACAATGTTAATACCGTTCTCGTTCCCGTCTGACTTTCAGACGTCGCGAGAGAAATAATTTCAATTTTCCTGCAGACAAAGGATTTATACAGAGTACCGTGCAAATGGAAAGTTGTTCGTGTCGGAAATTCAAAAGAGCAAACTCCTTAAATCCTCGGAAAGCCTCTGTTCCAAGAATAAAATGTGCCATATTATATTTTTAACGAACGGTACTTCCTTAAATTATTCTATTGTAGATTACTTGTTGGATTCGTAACACTTTGCTTTTCGCCGTAATTAATAAAATGATCTCGCGAATTTCCGGGCAATCTTTCGATAACTCAATCGCGTGAGAACGCGTTTTACGTAAATAGTACATGTTTTATGCTACTGATCTTCTTACAGCTACGATGTGATATGTGTTTCGCTGTTACATACGGAGCTCGGGGTTCTAGTTTATTTGAGCCACGGTGTGAAATATAGTACATACAGCGACACTCGTATCAATATTTGCACACGACAATATGCGCGACACGTTTGTTATATATATATATATATATGTTTGTGTATAATAGTTTACTGCTATTTAATACATTAAAACAGATATTGCAGTTGGTAAAAATATATATTTTATTTATTTAGTGCACATGGTGAAATAGGATATTGTAGAGGATCTAGGCCACAACTAAAAAAATAGTATAATGATTATTGCTAATAAACTTCTTAATATCCTGCAAAACTGTAATTACTCTAGCCGTATACATATTATTTACCGTAGTCATAAACGAAACTTCTTACGACCCACAGCTCCTCGACTTCTGTGCAGTCATTGAGAATGTTTCGCCTAGAGATGCGCGATTAACCCGATGCTACTAAGTCGCATAATGCAATAAACGTGCTACTATATTAGCTCGTACTTGAGCATTCCATCGAGTCTAGCAGGAAAAGCTGGAGGATAAAGAACGAGTCAGTGGCGGGCAACCTGTATCTGTTATCTAAGAGGAAACAAGTCGAAGGGAGGTAGAATGATGAAAGATACGATGCGCAACAGCTGTAAAAACTACCTTTGGAATTAATTGACTCGATATACGGGAAATCGTGCTCCGAATTGGGTCGAATTTTGTTCGTATGGAAGAGAACAGTTCCGAGTTTAAGAATTCCTTGTGAATAGAGAAAAAATAAAAAGATTATCATCGAAACATACACTACCCCTCAAAAAGTATACTAACATTTCCTTCTTTTTAATAAGATGTTACTACAGATGATATTGACGAGGTGTTAATTAGAAAATTACGACCAAATCAAAGTGCAGTGACTTTATTCTTTTTAATCATTCTAGCTATGTAAAATGGAATGTTGTGACGTGATTAAATTAGCTTTCAAAAAACAATATACGATAATAATAAGTATTATAGTATTAATAATTGTCAAACTAAGAAGAACCGGCTTGTTACATGACAAATTTTCCATTTTCAGATTTTTTGATGTTTGAACTAGAAATCAGGTTAAAAAGACCTCTGATGTTAGTAGAACCAATGATATCTAAATAATTAATATATATATATATATATATATAGTATAATAACGACATAGTCTGATGCTACTTCCGAACAGTAGCGCAAGTGGATCGACCTATTTTATTCAGAGATACAAAGATTACGAGGAAACATATATATGTAGAAAGATTGTGCTACTTTCTGTCGAAAAGTATACATTGAGTAACCCGTCGGAACTTTTAATTCGTGTACAATGACAACCTGTACACAGTTGTTATAAGAATGTCCTTGTAACACTTAAATAATAGGTGGATGCATAAAAGCGTCTAGATATTAATATTGTGAAAAAGCTCGCTTCTATAGGTATATTAAATTACAAAAACTTTTAGTGTCCATAGCACTTCTCGATACAGCTTTCTACGTGATACTATCAAGCCGCTATTAAGAATCATATTGCACGCAATTTCTATGGGAATTATGAAAGTGGGAACCACAAAGACAACCGCATTAGTTAGTTGCGCAACAGTAATAACTCACGCTTTACTTCGTTATATTCAAATGACTGTGACTCAGTTTCACTTTTCCTACTATATTTGCATATAATATCGACTAAAAGTATATAACTTGATTTCTTTCGTATAACTAGAAAAATTTGATAAATTTAGTCCTGCTGTTGCTCTCGTTTCTTCTTCACATTTGTATCTCTTTAAATATCTTCTTCCTTATTAATACTTTATCTATAAGAAGCATAGAATACGCGAAAGATAGTATCATATCGAGTACTAAAACCAAATATTTAACACCCATCTATATTTTAATAATATTTACTAAGATGTAACATTCATTTCGAGTCATATAAACTTGAAAAGAGCAGCAGAATTGATAAAGCAATCAATTTTGTATTTACATTGACTATTTTATCTGAATAGAAAATGTTCTAATTATTTCAAGAGCATGTATACGCATGTCATTTTATTTACGAAACAAATTTATTAAACGTCGAACTCCTGCTCTCTTTGACGCACTTTTTGTATTTGACACGGACAGTGAAATAAATCGATAAGCGATCGATATCGCAACTATGAACTCGAGAGCCGGCAATTTGACCGCGAGAAATATCGAGCATGCGCAATCGACGGGTACTGGTCTGCGATGCATCAAGGAAATACGCGCGTTCGAATCAAAAGAATTTCAAAAGCATGACTCACCGTCAGGATTGGTGAAGTATCCCCATGTGGGGGTCGCGGTGGTCGCCGATTGGAGGACCAAGGCCAGAATACTGAGGGCCAGAGCACCGGCGGCGCC